TATCATATACAATGTTTATTTAAAATTGGTACTACTCTATAATAATAATTATAAGGAAAAACATTGATGACCTGGTTCAAATATTAGCTCTAAAACTTTCTAACTAGGTGAACTTGGGAGAATTTCTTCATGTCTCCATGCTTCAGTTTCCTCATATATGAAATGGGAAGATTAATAATACTCACTTTTAGGGCTTTTGTGGGGTTTTAATAAATAAACATACATACATATTTGGGACAATCTCCAGTACATGGTAAAATTTCAAAATGCTTATTATTATGATTGAAAAATACGGTAAATATATAAATATATATATATGTGTGTGTGTATGTATATATACATATATACATACACACACACACACACGCACACACACACTAGCGGTCCGGTGCATGAAATTCATGCACTTGGGGTGGGGTCCCTCAGCCCGTCCTGCGCCCTCTCGCAGTCTGGGAGCCCTCAGGGGATGTCCAATAGACAGCCGTCAGGCAGACATCCTTAGTGCTGCAGTGGAGGCAAGAGAGGCTCCCGTCACTACCGCTGCGCTCGCCGGCTATGAGCTTGGCTGGAGACCAGTAGTTGCACCGTAGGGCCCAAAACTGCTCTCCAACATCCCTGAGGGTTTCCAGATTGTGAGAGTGCGCAGGCCAGGCCAAGGGATCCCATCGATGAACGATCGGGGCTGGGGAGGGATGTAGGAGGTTGGCCAACCGGGGAGGGACCACGAGAGGGCTCCAAGGCGTGTCCAGCCCATCTCACTCTATCCCAATTGACCAGACCCCAGCAGCAAGCTAACCTACCAGTCAGAGCGTCTGCACCCCTGGTAGTCAGTGGATGTCATAGCAACCAGTCGTTCCACCGTCGGTCCAAAAACTGCTCTCCAACATCCCCTGAGGGGATCTGGATTGTGAGAGGGCTCAGGTGGGGATGAGGGGCCCCATTGATGCACGACTGGGGACGGGGAGGGATGTGGGAGGTTGGCCAAAAGGGAGGGACCATGGGAGGGTTCCAAGGCATGTCCAGCCCATCTGGCTCAGTCCCGATCAGCCAGACTCCAGCAGCAACCTAACCTACCAGTAGGACCATCTGCCAGCCTGGTGGTCAGTGCACATCACAGCGAGTTGAGAGGCCTTAGCATATCATTAGCATATTATGTTTTGATTGGTTGAATGGCCAACTGGAAACTTTGCATATTAGACTTTTAATATATAGGACTAGAGGCCCGGTGCACAAAAATTTGTGCACTGGCGGGGGATGGGGGTGTGTGTCCCTCAGCCGCACTTGTGTCCTCTCACAGTCTGGGACCCCTCAGGAGATAACGACCTGCTGGCTTAGGCCTGTTCCCGGGTGGCAGAGGGCAGACCCAATCCCGAGGTGCCTGCCTCGCAGCCCCTGGCTGGGCTCAGAGCAGGGCCGATTGGGGAGTTGGGGCACCACCTCCATCATGCACAGAGCAGGGCGAATTGGGAGGTTGCAATGCCACCCCCAGTAACGCTCAGGGTAGGGCCGATTGGGGGGTTGGGGCATCGCCCCCGTCACACTCAAGGCAGAGTCGATGGGGAGGTTGCGGCGCCACCCCCTGTCACGCACAGAGCAGGGCCCATCATGGGGGTTGGGGCTCTGTACCCTGTCACACACACAGCAGGGCCGATCAAGGGGATGGGGAGCTCCCCCCATCACACACAGAGTAGGGCTAATCAGGGGGTTGGGGAGCTTCCCCCGTCACACACAGAGAAGGGCCAATAGGGGAGTTGGGGCACCGCCCCCTGTCACACACAGAGCAGGGCGGATCAAGGGGGGGGGGCGCTGCCCCCTGTCATGAACAGAGCAGGGCAGATAGGGAGGTTGTGGCCCAACCCCCTGTCACACACAGAGCCGCAGAGCAATCAGGGGGTTTGGGCGCTGCCCCCTGACATGCTACTCCAGGGGCCAGGAGCCCTTGCAGATCCACTGATCCCAGTGCTGGAAGGCCTCGTGGCTCCGCTTGACACTGGGGCAATGAGGCCTCGCTGTTCCGCTGATCCCGGTGCTGGGAGGCCTCGCGGCTCCACTTGACACTAGGGCAGTAAGGCCTCGCTGCTCCGCTGATCCGGTGCCAGGAGGCCTCACGGCCTGCTGATCCCAGTGCTGGGAGGCATATTACCCTTTTACTATATAGGATAGAGGCCTGGTGCATGGGTGGGGGCCAGCTGGTTTGTC